CCTAAGAACAAAAGTAACAAAATTAATTGGTGCTATTACAGACATAAAATGATTTTTTTCCAGTTTGTTCTAGATAATCTGAACGTAGTGCATCCTGTCAACAAATAGAAAAATTTATTTTAGAAGAGAAAACAAATATATATATATAATTGAAAAAAAAACTGATTTTCATAATATCATTCGAATTATCACAAGTTGCAATACGAAATGATGTTAAAAATGCTACACCAAAATTTTTAAAATATACATGTTTATTAAGTTCAAAACATGGTCGTTCATTAGTACATTCTAATTTACCAAATAATTCCACATCCAGTGCAGCATAGATAAAGAAAGGAAGAAAAAAATAGAAGGCTTAAATGAGAAAAGAAACAAAAAAAGACATGCTGTATTATCAAGATTGAAATCATAAGTTCATTTATCAAGTTTATAACGTATGGAAGAGCTTGTATAACAGTATTTAATAAAGCTCTTATACATTTTGCAATTTTAAATAGTTTTAATACTAAAATCATAGAAAAAATTTTTCAAAAATTTAATATTTTCTGAGAAATTTTAATATCTATTTTTGAATATTCGTGTAATTGTTATGTACTGATGATAAATATGTCATACTACTTTCTTTCTTCTTTATAAGATTCAAGTAAACTTTCTAAAAACTGACCAAGTAATATTTATCCATAATAGTCTTAAAAATATTCATGTGATCTTCTCAAATCTTCCAAGATCATATCTTTCTTATGAATTACATAGTAATTACGAACATTCTTGAAGTTATTCAATGACAGAAAAATATCAAACTGATAACAAAGATTGGTGTTTGTTTATCACATATAGTACTAAGTTTATTTGGTCTCGATAAATTTCAGACGGTTCTGACTTTGTTCTATTCTCGATATAACTTTATTTTTAGTATTTTTGACATTGATGAATTTGAAAAGAGATTTTTTACTCTCAAGAATAATTTCATTACCTCATGTAATTCTTAACACTCTCATAACAGGTATACTTGTTGGATTAATTGGAAGTATATGTCCATTTTTCAGTTTTTCTACAACAATATCAGATATTGATAAAATAACAATAACCATATCAATTTGATTCCATCTAATATATATTTACAAGTAATTTACTATGTTATACTTTTCTTTAAAATAAATCAATAGTCTTAGTGTAAGTGCATGAAGAGCTATAATAGCAACAATAATTAAATCAAAATATTTACTATTACACATATCATGTAAACGTCTTCTCCATGGTACATAATATGGTAATTTATGTTTATGACATCGTCTACGCTCAAGTTTTAATGTACATTTAGTTAAATATGTTGTTTTTTCTGGTCGTTCATATTTAATACAAAAAAGTCAACAAGTAATAAAAATGAAATAAAATAAATTAATCTTGCTGTATTATAATTTCTTATTAGTTGCATATCAACATCAATAGTATCAATACCATTATACATCATTTGTATCCAACCATCTCGTCATAATAAAACAAATATACATAATAATGCCTCAGAAAAGCAAAAGATCTCAATTTTGTGTTGTATAATACATACTTGCCCTAAATGATCAAAATTATATTGTTAATTTTTCCAATGATGATCAGGCATTTCTTCAAATTGTTGTCGTGTTGTTACATTATGAGTTAATGGACCTTCACAATAATAAAATTTGCCTTTGAACAATTAATGAAAGATAAATTAAATAATTATATTTATTTTGAATATTGCTGGTAAAAATTTCAAC